AGACGAAACAGACAAACTCCTTGAAAGCAGCTACCACCAAACCTTTCACTAAAGCCAAGCCCAGATGACGGAGAAGCGGCTCCTAACGGTGCAGCTGGAGCAGGTAGGTCCAGACATACCTGCACATGAGCTTTTCAGGTAAACAAGCTCCCAAAACTATCTGTTGCTGAGGCGAGGCAGAGCTGGGGTCTAGATCCCTTGCAACCCCACCTGGCCCCTTGCACGCTCACCTCCTTCTTCAGGAGTTTGAGCTGCTCCTGGAACTTGGCGTAGTCCCGCTCCTGCTCCAGGCGGATCCGCTTGGCCTCCTCCCGGCGGCGCACGGCGTGGTCTTGCTCCATCTTCTCCACCTGCTGCTTTTGCTGACGCTCCAGGTTCTCCAGCTCTGTGTCGAAGAACTTCTTCTTGGCCTGGAAGGAGCAGAAAGAGAAAGTCAGCAAAGTGTCACTTTATACCCGGGAGCGGGGCGGGGGCAGGATCGGGAGAGCCCGGAGCTTGACCTCAGAGCTGAGCTTAAATCCCAGCTCTGTCACCACTTTACGGTGTGACCTGGGACAAGTCACTTAACGTCTCTGAGTCTCAATTTTCTCATGTGCAAAAGGGAGATCAGGCCATCTACCTTGCAAGGTCCTTGTGTGGTGCTCCACACAAGTTAATCGCCCTCTCAAGATGCTCCTGTGTGACTCAGAGGAGCGCTCTGACCTCCAGGGGATTCTGAGTTTACAAGTCAATGCCTGATGAGACCAGGAAACCAGGGGAATTGGGCAATTGTGAATTACCCCCCACCACCCAGTCATCCTGACTCTGCAACTTCTGCTTGAAGAAAACATGAAAGCAGGAAGCCCCAGAGGGCCATATCGTTTCTCGCACTCACGTTGATTTCTTGCTCAAAACGCTTCTGCATCTGCTCCAGCTGCAGCTCATGCTTGCTGCTCAGCTGGCTCTGGTTCCGATGCTCTTCCTTCTGGAGCAGCCGAAGCTCTCGGAGTTCCTGGCGCCTGGACGGTTAAAAGATGGGGACATTTCAATCCGAAAGTAGCCTCAGAGATCAAGTAACTCATAGCTCGTTAACTCATAGCTTGGGACACTGAAGGTTTGGAGCGTAGAACAGCATCATG